GACTACACCTCGAACCTTCTACTAATGCTTCGTTTCGACCTCTGATATTTTTCCCACTCTTTTCATTATCGTTATCTTCATGCGTTATTCTCCTTTCTTCAATAGAAACGCCTTCTCTCCTTAACACCAACTCCCCTCAACTTTATTCAATGCAACAAAAAAACGACACCCTTAAATAATCAACATTATATAAAAACACTATAATTGGTTTTATAACTTGATGGGATAGAGTAAAGGGTCTAGAAATTTTTTTGATTGTGGGCACATGTATATTAATGTCAATGTACATCCGTCACTGTTGGGAAAAGAAAAAAATAGTCATCTGTAGAGGTCATGGAGGAAATTTTTAAAAAAAGTAAGCGAGCGGAAGGTTTAAGAATATTTTTGAACAAAATAAAATATTGATTTGAAGGTCGAAATGCATTCAAAGCTCGTCGAACTTTATCCATTCAAAAAGGTGCAATGGTATTAAGAGAGAGGGTTTGGGATTTTTAGTTTTCAAGGAGACGATCAAGCTCATTATGTTTAATTATTCTTGTAATAATTAATTTTCGAATACATAACTTCTAAAATTAACAACGATTATTTTATTTTAATCATGATTGAAATTTTGTTTTAATTGATTATCGAAGTTTGGGCGGATTGCTGCCGTTTGAAATTCGGTTGATATTTTTAGTACATTTTACCTCCACGGCTCCACCACGAACCCCCCCCCCCCCCCCCCCCCGCGGACAGCTTCACCACGATTCAAAGTCCAGCTCTCTCGGTCTCGACCGAAGCCAAAGAGGCAGGCAGCTTTACAATTGCCCCATGATTGCCGCCACAGCACTCTCTCTCACTTTCTCTCTATATCCGATGTTGCGAAAAACCCTTTTCATTCTCAAAAGCTCTCTACAAATCGCAATTTCTCATTCTCAAAGGCAACTAAAAACAACAATTCCTATACTTCGCTCGAATCGTCACGGCAAAAGCAACCTAGGAAATCTCGGTCCCCTCTCCCTCGCGAACCTGTAAATTTTTCCGAATCTAACCCGTCTTTTTCGCTTTTTGGCCGGTTAAGGTACGTTTTTTTCTGACTGATAATAATTGTTAAACTTGCTATGTTGGGGAAGCTTCAAACATTTGAGAGTCCTTTTACTTTGTTGTAATCTGTCTGAGAGGGTTTTGCAGAGATGGGTTTAAGATAGATGAGCTTGGTTTGTATATTTTATCTATCGCACTGCCTGCTGCTTTGGCTTTGGCTGCTGATCCCATTGCTTCATTTGTTGATACAGCCTTTGTTGGCCATTTGGGTACTCTTATTTTTATTATTATGATTATTCCATCATCTTGGTATTTATGTTCTTGTCAAGCTTTCATTTGTAGCTTTACATGCTAATCACACTTACCATGTATTTAGCATTTTCCCTAAAATTGAAATTGAACAGTGGCTAATAAGTTTTGGGTTTTGTGGTGCAGGGTCGGTTGAATTGGCGGCGGTTGGTGTATCAGTATCAATATTCAATCTGGTCTCAAAATTGTTTAATGTTCCTTTACTTAATATCACAACATCTTGTGTTGCTGAGGAGCAAGTGTTAATTAGTAAAAGCAATTATGGTAATTTAAAGTGAAAATATATTAAATAAGCAATTACAATTTTATCATGATATTATTTTGTTTGAACTTTTAATTAACTTGGGGGTTTTGTTATGATTAAGATGGTGAATTTGAGCATCAAGGCAAGAAAGTTCTTTCTTCGGTATCCACTTCTCTGGCACTTGCAGCTGGCCTTGGCATTGCAGAAGCAGTTGCACTTTCAGTTGGTTCGGGTTTCTTACTGAATATCATGGGTATACCTATTGTATGTCACGCTAGCTGATGATGTATTTTTGTTATTATCTTTTGAAAATTTTAAGGTCTGATTTGATATATCATCTTATTTTGTTTCTTTCCTTTCTTTTCCTTACCTTATTTCTTAGGATTCACCAATGCGTGGACCAGCTGAGCAGTTTCTGACATGGAGGTCCATTGGTGCCCCGCCTATTGTAATTGCACTTGCTGCTCAAGGCACTTTCCGTGGATTTAAGGATACCAAGACACCTTTGTATGCCATTGGTAAGTATTGCAGCGGGCCTTCTGTGTCAATTTCTTCCTTTGCTGCTTATTTGAATTATGTTTTACTGCAACACAGCTCATTTGTGGAGTCCAAAACCTGGCCAGCTCTATTTTCTTATCGGCAAAAACCAATGATTTACTAGCATATGAGAAGATTTATAAGATTTCTGTTATTTAAGAATTGCTGCACCCCAGCCAGTAACCAATGACCAAGAAAGATTGAAAAAGTTTGCTTGACTTGTGAGCAGAGCAGATCAGAGGCTACATTTTTACCTTTATACTTTTTCATTTTTCCACTTTAAATGTGTAATTTCAGCTTCTCATACTAACTCATTTACCTATTAGTTTGTAAACAAATTGCCTGTCATCCCACTATGGTTGATTTTTTCCAAGAAGTAGCTCCTACTCTTCTTGAATAGCATTCTTCCCTAAGAGAAGTATTATAGTTTATAGCCTGTGGAACAAATATCAGGCTATAATGTTAGTCATTGTTTGATGCAAGTAGTTGATTTCTTCCTTGAATTAACTGGTGCAGGCAGCTTACTAAATGCAATATTGGATGCAATCTTGATATTTCCCTTTTGGTTTTGGTGTTAGAGGTGCGGCAGTTGCTACTATGATTTCTGAGTACGTCAAAAATGTGGTAAACTTAATGATTATTGTATACTTGGCTCATAACATTTCTACTAATTCTGAATTTTCGGTTAATATTTTACTTCTACTAAACCCTTTTTTCTCTAACTACATATTTGATTGCCATCATTCTTCTCTGGGAGTTGAATGGGAAGGTTGCACTGATCTCTGCAAATGTTGACTGGTGAAAAGTTCTCCTCTACATTAACTCTGGTACATTTCTTGCCAGCTAATTTTAGCAATGTTCTGTTTCGTTGGATGCTCCCTAAATACAAATTTGTGTGTCAGTTTAAAGTAAATAGTCCAGGTTTATCTTATATGGAAGAACATTGCAGCATAAAAGTTTCAAGAGAAAAAAAGAGCATCTTTGGAATGCATTTTGTACAATATCATCATATTAGGATGTATTAGATTAGTAGCTCAAGTAATTTTTGCTCTAAAGGTATCATAGTGAAACCTGTTCAACATAATTCTATTTGAGGTTAGAATATCTTAGTCATACAATGTCTTAGATGAAGGCTAACCGTAGCTGTTATTTTCTTGTTGATCTTAAGTATTACTTTGAGTGTCTGCCTATTTCTTCTTATAGTTAAGCCACATAAAATGAGCCTAAAAAACAGACAACCTCTAAAGTACTTCAATTTTGAAACAATAAAATTTTAGTATGGAAATGGTTATGGTATCTGCAGGTGGACTTCTTATAGGCAGGACAATAGCGACCCTTGTAACTCTGACACTTGCAACATCACTGGCAGCTAGGCAGGGCCCCATTCCTATGGCTGGTCATCAGATTTGCGTTCAAGTTTGGTTGGCGGCATCTTTGCTAACTGATGCTTTAGCACTCTCTGGTCAGGTACCATGTCCTGTGTTTTTCATTACGAAGGCCCAAATGTATATTTATGGAAATACCATATAAAGTAACACTAAATGGAACCTGGTTTTTCTTTTAAATCTACTTATCAATCATCTTTTCGGTTTCTGCAACAGGCTCTTCTTGCCACTAATTACTCCCAAGCAAATTATCAACAAGCTCGCGAAGTGATTTACAGTGTTCTTAAGGTTTATTAAACTTAGCTGTCAATTTCTTTGAAATTAATTTCCCTTGCATCTAACTAAGCTAGTTTTATTGTATTGTCCCTTGAGTTTTGAGCAGATTGGTTTGATAACGGGATTTTCTTTGGCTGTCGTCTTATTAATTGGATTTGGAGCAATTTCTGGCTTATTTACAACAGATTCAGCTGTTCTCCAAATTGCCTGGTCGGGTACTTTGGTAAGTAACGTTGTATATGTTTACAAGAACTTGTAGATGGGTTCTGGTTCTCAGAATCTTTTTGAAAGTTAAAAGAGTCTCTAGCCACCTCGAAACAGCAGCTTGAGTTTTTTGGCTGTATTCGAGTGAGTTCGGTCGAGTTGTTAACATCAGAGGAATCTGCTTTCCAACACGTGCATCAAGTGTTGTGACTGGTAGGCTATCTAACATTGATGCTATTTTGCATGCAGTTTGTCGCCGGGTCTCAGCCAGTGAATGCCATAGCTTTAGTTCTTGATGGGCTCTACTACGGGGTTTCAGACTTCGAATATGCTGCTGTGTCTATGGTTGATTTAACTTCCTTTCATGCTAACCTATGACTATGAGTTTTGCTGTAATAATCTTCGATAAACTGATATATTGCACATATGTGATTGTGTAGGTGGTAGTTGGATTGATCTCATGTGCATTCGTAGTGGTGGCTGATTCTTTGTTCAGTCTTGGTGGAGTGTGGACTGGCCTATTTCTCTTCATGACCTTGCGTGTGGTTGCTGGATTTTGGAGGTAACCTAATCTGTTAATTAGGAAAGGAAAAATAAACATCCTATGAACTTGAAATCTCATCAGATGAGTGGATTGTTTAATGTGCTAGGTTGGGTACAAAAAGTGGGCCATGGAAAATGATTTTTTGTGAGATGGATAGAGGAAAGGGATAAGATTAAGAAGAATGCATCTAAGTAGGCAGGCCGAAGCTTTCAAGCTATGAGAAGGTGGTGGAAAGCAGCATTCATATTTAACTTCTAATTGAGGCTAATTGGATTCAGAATGAACACAAGATTTGCCAGACTTTTAAGATGGCATCACCCGGATACAAGTCAGAATTGAATTGATTCCACCTATGTGAATTTGTTTACAGCCCAGGTTAATGTATATACTTTCATATAATTGAACTTTGATAGTACATTTATTCTCTTTATCAGGGCTTATTCTTATCATATACAGCATTCATAGTATTATCATAAACTGGATAAATTGTTGAAGAGAATTGCCTAACAAAGTAACAATACATGATCAGAAATGAATCTCATTTCTTATTTGTATCATTAACCATACTATTGCGTCTCCAAAAGTACAAAAAAAAGATCTTAGAGAAAAGGCTGAAGAAAGATAATAACTTACAACACCATAGGTAATTGAAAAACACAGTCAATCTTCAAATCCACCCTTGGACTGATGGACCACCTTAGGAAATCTTCAGTTCATGCGTTACTGGCAGCGACTGCAGGTTCAATACATCAACTAATGCTCAATTGTCATGAAATAAACACAACCTTAAGAAACATCAAAGTTGAATACTTTTTCAACGGTCCACTCCAGCATCACAATTTTCTGTCTTTAAAGAATCAGCAAGGAAACCAATAAGTCCAACAGAAGCCGAAGAAATAAAATGTAGTGATACCAATTGTTTTTTTTTCTTTCTTCTTTCGATTTTTTCCCCAGCAAAATCTAGCCATTCAACTTCTGATGGCGCAAAAGTATATCACATCATACAAACAGCAGCAGCATATAATGTGAATGTATACACCAAGCTGCTGGTGACAAATTTTCCAATATCTACCTATAAACTTTTGGTACCAGAAAAGCATTTAACTTGATTAATCATGAAAAAGAAAAGGATCCATATACCCCTTAGCCAGGTTAAAACATAAACATAACAAGAATAACGCTATATCACGATTTTTCTAAATCATTGAAAGGAAGAACAATATTTTTTTCCTGGACGTAGATGAATATGAATCATAATGCTAAAGAACAGAACATTACAAACTGATTTCAGGTAAAAGCTACCAAAATCCTTCCAAGCACATCATGTAGCTACAAACCTTTTAGTCCACAATCTTACCTCCATCATGCCCATATTACACCTAAATATAGAGAATCTTCATCATGGCCTTATGGTATTAAATTTTATTTTAATAAAGCCAACTACAGAGCATTTCATTGTAGTGTAACAGGCAAACATGAAATGAGGTGCAAAAGGAAGAAACTAGTGTCTCCAAATAGTAAAAACCCTGAAACCATCTAGCATTATCCATAAAACACGCATCAAAAACAAACAACACTGGAATTCAATAAAACAAGGTGTATTAGCACATTTAGTCCATAAACAACAAGAAACTAGTTAATTTAGTTATGCCAGAAACTAGTTAGTTATCCTTAGTTCATTTGGAACATAACAAATCAAATAAAATACAAGTAATTACCTATCATGAAATAGGAAGCAATTATTCGATCCCAACAGACCTGGCAACTTTGTACCGTAACTTCCTATTCAGATTTTCCTGGAAAAAGATTTGTTTAGAAATTAGCCTGAAATGAGCTTATCCAAAAATATATAGCCTGTCATACACAAAGGAAACAACAATAATAATAAGCTCACCTGTTCAAGAACCTTAGCGGAGCTGGCTTCAACGAGCCTGGCCAAGCTTTCGGTCTTCAAAAGCATTTTCTCATATAAATCCTCTAATCCACCGGTGTAGTTAGTGGCTTCCAGTCCGATTAACCGGCTCAATCTCCCAACATGCATTCCCTCGGCGCACTTATCCAACAAGGATTGATCCTTCTCCGTTTGTTTCATTCCAATTAAAGTCTCCTCATTTCTATCTTCATTCATGGGTGTTGAGCTCCTTAACTCGCAGCTCAAAAAGAGTAGCCCGGAAGTGGGGCTAAACGACCCGTAATGTCCTCTAAAGGCTGGTCCAATGTTAACGACATCGATTGACAGCGGATTAAAAGAGGGTCTGGCCGATTGGAAGTGGAAGGCCCGATACTGGTGGGATTGAATGAATTGGTCTTGTAGGGGAGTGGTGAAGAGGAGGAAAATGGACGGAGGGAAAAGGGAATCGGGATCGGAGTTTTGGATCGGAAGGGAGATACCGGGGGTGGAGGAGAGAGAACGAGTGACGCAGAACTCACGCATGGAAGGGCGGAGGGGGGTTTTGCGGCGGGAGGAGAACCAGCCGATGAGGGGTTTGTGGTTGAGGTGAGTGATAGAGGAGAGTCGGGAGGAGTCAACTCGGCTGTGTGAGTCGTAGAAGGAGAGAAGAGAAACAGAGGAAGCCGAAGACGGTGGCGACGAGTTGCGAATCGGGAGAAGATTGGGCAGAATCGTCGTCGGGGAGAGTGGAAGGGACGACGTAAGTGACGTGGCCGAAGACGCGACCGTCGACGTCGGCGGCGGAAGATGAGAGGCGTTGGATCATGGAGGCGAGAGTGGGACCTGACATGGCTAATTTATGCAATGCCAGATCGTCCATGACGTGAAAATGGTGGTGAGGGCAACAATTCCTGAAACTAATTTCTCAAGATTAATGAATCAGGCAGATGAGTTTTCCCTTCTCTATCCACACTTGTTCTTGCTTATATATTAATGGCGCTGTTGGTCCTCTGATAGACCTTGTTAATATACAATGAATTTTACTTTCTCTGGTTTTACTCACCATAATTTTAATGTTTTTAATATGTTCATTGAACTTTAGACCTTTAATTTTTTATTATCAATAAATGATGATATGAATTATTTTATTATTTTTTTCATACATGTCATATTTTTATTAATATTTTAATATTATTTAGGATTATAATAAAAAATAAATTTAAAAATATTAAAATATAAGTCCAAACACTAAAATTAAAATTTCCAACCCCGCACATTCAAGGTAAAGCTCTCTATTTTTTTCTTTTTGATTTCTTTGCTAAATGGTCAATTTCTTACTTTTTATCGGATTTTTTTGGTGTTGAATCATTGATTAAGTCTAAGTAATTCTTCTTCTCTTTGATGTTAAATCATTGATTTCTTTGATAGAATTTTTGTTGTGCTTGGGGTTTGGTTTTGAACTAAAATCCACAAAAGGTTAATTCCATGGTTGTGTTGATTGGTTTGGTTGAGGGTCGTGATAGATGAACAAGAGAGTGAGGGGTCGAAAACTGGTCCTAGATTTGTCAAGAGGTAAAATCTAATTTCTTGTGAGGTACTCAATTCAAAATATGATTTGCCGATAGAATGGCTTCCCCCAATATATTGTCATACAACCCAACACTTATCAACAATGAGTTCATCATTTATTTTAAAGTTATATTTTTCCTCTCGGCTATACTGTTCATTTGAGGAAAATAGGGAGCTAATGTATCGTGAATTATGTCATTATTCTCACACACCTCTTTTAAAAATTTTGATATGTATTCACCACCTCTATTGGATCTAACCCGTTTAATGCTTCTATCTAACTGATTCTCAACTTCTACCTTATAAATAAGAAAGATGTGCTCATCTTCATCTTTAGTTCTAAGGAGATATAATTTTGTGTATCTCGAGAAATCATCCACAAAAATGATGCAATAGTATTTTCTTCCCTTACTTCCAGTGTTTCTAAAGTCTACTAGATCAATATGTATAAGTTCTAACAGTTCAATTTTCCTATTAGAAACAGTCTTAAAGTGAGGCTTAGCATGCTTGGCTTCTACCCAAATTTCACATCTGTTAAAGCTAGTTATGTCTAGTTTAGGCAGAATATTCATTTTTATCAGTTTCTTTAAAGATTAAGGGGTTGTTTGTTTACTTCAGAATGATTAAGCGCTGAATGATTCAAATGCTGAATGATTCAGAGGCTCTGTATGAATTAGTTCTAAATGTGATATGTTGTTTGATAATGTCTCTGAATCATTCAGAATGTACTTCTGTGCTAAATATTCAACATTGTTTTACAGAATTAGTTAGCATTAAATCATTCAGAGGTGCGAAACAAACGCGTTGAATGTTGAACGGTTCAGCATTCAGCGCTGAATGGTTCCATTAAGAGTCAAACAAATAGCCCCTAAATATTCACATGTCATAATTTAACATGCCACATATCAACAGATTCAACGGTGTAAGCAGAAGTGGTAGCTTTATTTTCATTCAGTTGAGTTTATATGACAAATAAAAACCTGTTTAAAAACCTTTCCCAACATAATCACCATTTCGAGAAAGTACAAGTTTATCTTCCTAAAAAACCTAACTTAATGCTTGCCTTATTCAAAAGTCTGCCACTAATTAAATTTTTACGTAGGGCATGTACATACAGGACATTATTCAGGGTTAAAGTTTTACCAAAAGTCAGCTTGAGTAAAATCTTGCCTTTACCCAGTACTTCAGAGCTGCTAGAGTTCCCCATGTACACAGGTTCACCTTCGTCTCCATCCTCGAACTCAGTGAAAAACTCCCTCGTTGAGCAGAAATATCTAGAAGTGCTAGTGTCAACGACCCACTCAACATTGTTATCAACCAGATTCACCTCTGAAACCACTGTTGCGATGACATCAACATTGTTATCCGTAACGTTCAGCTATGGTTTGTTCTCATTTTGACGGTCGAAACGGTGTTAACACCGGTAAGATTTGTGGCCCTGACTGCACATATAACACTTGATGGATTTGCCTTCAGCCTTGGTCTTTTTGTTTTAATACCCCTTTTTATGGTCCTTTTATACTTAGACCCTGAGGCAACACCAGATTCAACCAAGTTAGCTTTAAAGGATAAATTACTGATAGAGTTAGTAACCTTATCTTTTAACTGATTAGCCTCCTCTATTTTCCTGTGGCCCACCATCTCCTCAAGTGAAATGTTTCGCTTTTTATGTTTTAGGGAGTTGCGATAATTGGACCAGGACTTGGGGAGCTTCTCGATCAGAACGTTGGCTTACAACACCTCACACATCTGCATTCCTTCAGCAAGGATGTTAGAGACCAGATTTTCATAATCATGGGCTTGGTCCATAATAAGCTTGTCATAATTCATCTGGAACCTCATTCACTCGCCCATAATATACTTCTTGATGCCTGCATCATCAGCGACATACTTTTACTCGAGTGTATCCCATATGATCTTGGCGTTCTTTTCTTTGAAGAATATGTCAAAGAGCTTGTTAGACATATGGCTTAGCAGATGGCCTCGCACCGTCTTGTAACCATATTCATACTTCTCGGCAGTAACAACAACGTCAAAAATGAAAACGACATCGGGGTGTCATCACCAACAGTAGCAGTTGCAACTGGAGTAGTCCCCGGAGTAGGTGGTGGGAGCTTCAACATCACATAATCGAGATAAAGTTGCTCAAGGAATATTAGAATCAGCTGGGACCACCTTCAGTATTGGAGCCGTCGAGTGCATCGAGTTTGGACAAGTCAGGGATAAACTTACTTAGTGGTGTCGACATTTTACAGTAATGAATTAGTTTCTAAATTTTTGGAAATGTATAATGTAAAATTTACATGTTAAGACTGATAGGATAAATAAATAATAAAGAACGATCGAATCAACTAAAATGGTGCCGTAGTGGAAACCACTACCTTAGAAAGAAATTCGCCCCGATGTGTGGAATAGTTGCTTTAGGCAGATTGTCCCCCGAGGTTAACACAGTAGCTCCGAGAATTTGTACAGCCGAAACTGGAGTGGGTTGTTGGTTATATTGCTCTTTTGAATCACCAAAGGAACTCTGAAAGTTTCAGGAAGCTTTGAATGTATTGAGATAGATACGAGAGCTCAGAAGCATTCAAAGCTTCTCTATTTATAGGTTGTGCGTTAGGAGCAAAATGGTCCGTGCATCAGATTATTTCTAATTAATTTCTGAATTAATCCTTTGTTTGGAAGTTGTTATCACAACTAGTAAACTTGGCCTTAAATCAGTCCATGTTCGAAAATTTAAAATCTAGTCATTTTTAACTCATGCATTTATATTCGTAACTCTTGCATTTACTCTATAGTCGGCTTGATAAAACATTCAAAACATAGCATGATACTCGTCCAAGTTCACCAATGTTTCACAAACACTTAATTCCAGAAAATAGTTGTTATAGATTTAATTTTTAGAAATCAAAACATTTCACACCTACTTAATCAGCTGTTACCCTCTGTAATTTAAATCATTCAGACCACTGCAACCTATAAATATCAAACACATTTCTTTTACAAGTTTTTATGCTAAGAAAATTTTAGAATTTTCTCTAATTCAACATGTATTACCTCAACCACGATCACATCCAAGAGCATGAGATGATACGGATAGATAGCGGCGGCAACAACGCGGAAGATTACCCTTGTTCTCCATAACTCAATAAGGGAGGGGAGAATGCACACTATTAATACACAAGCCAATGATATTTCCCATTTAATGTGGGATAGTGTATTTCGCGTTACAACATTTTTTCTACTTTAATCCCATTCAATTCAATTACTAGAGATAAATAAGCTAAACTTTTGTTTATTTATTACTAAATCAATTGATATAATGATAATCTAATATATGAATAAACACTAAATTGGGAACTAAACATATATGTACCACTAATTCCCACTAAAATACACTTTTAGGCTTAATTGACATGCAAGCTTCAACATTTCCCATTATTTCAATTTAGTCTTTAAACTTTCAATTATCACTTTTCAATTTTCAATTGAGTTTCAAATCAAATCATATTTTACTCTGACTAATATTAATCTTTTAGGCACAAAATTAAAGGCCTGATATGAATAAATTAATCTTAAAAAATAATCCATTCTCATTGGACTCCGAAAATTTCTAATTCAAAATTTATTAGTGTTACACTATATTATCGTAAGATGATACACACCGACTAAGAGAACGTTTGTCGCTACAATATAGACACGTTGAAGAAGAATAAATAAATATGATACGTCTAAAGGCCTAATATAAAAAAATAATATGATGTTATATATGTAACGTACCATCGATTACTAATGAAGCATAAAAAGTTTATTGACTTTAGAATCTTTAAAGGAATTTCAATGATTAAATAAAGTCTTATTCTACTTAGAGATACCGTATTCAAGTAGTTATGTTTATGGGGTGTGTATGTTGTCAGTAGCTAAGATGATGTACATTATTTTATTAAAAAAAGGTAAATTACACACTTACTGAACTTTACTCTCTCTTATTTCACTCAACGTACTTTCAATTTTTTTAATTTGCTCACTGAACTTTAGACATTGAGTTTTTTTGCTCACTCTAAAATGATGTAGATTATTTTATTATTTTTCTCATATGATGTGTCATATTTTATTAATATTTTTAATACCAAATATGATTAAAAAATTTTAAAAATTAAAATTATACCCTTAAATTATATCTAAATTCTTAAATTATATCCTAAACACTAAACCTTAAATTACAACCCCACCCACCATCACCCTTGACAAGTTCACCCCTCCACCGGCGATTACCCTCCCACCAACGTACTTTAGACATTGTAGCGTGTAATCTCTTTCTTCAACGTGTCTATATTGTAGCGACAAACGTTCTCTTAGTCGGTGTGT